TTGTATCAATATTAATCAGTACAGATTCACTCGTCCCAATACCATCAATATTCCTAAATATCAAGCTGTCACCTCCTTTCTTCTCCATTACTACGGTTTCAAGTTTATGTGGTTTTTACCATTTACCAAAACAACCCTCAACTCTCTTCTTTCATCCTTTCTTATCGGCCTTGCCTGTTTTGTATTTTACGACAGTATATCTTCCCAGTATATCTTATACACATTATTGGCAGAGTGGCCATCGACAGTTGAATTGTGACGTCACAGTCAGCAAACTTACATTTACCATTTCCTATAAATAACTTGTAATATTTTACCATGAATTGGGAAGAGAAACTTTATGTCTTATGCAAATAAATACACAGTACTTATTACACTCCATACATAACTAAACGCTGTCATTCGCTCTTTGGTAAGGTCTTCAAAGAAGGTTGGTTCATTTCTTTTCTCATGTCATTATTTTCTGGTCATCTGATCATTAACTCATATCAAATTCCATTACTTTGTTTTATATAGATTCACCTTCTGGAATCATTCATTATTCAAAGACAATGGCATGGTCTATATGGTTTGGTGTTCTTTTTTTTTCAGTCAAGCAAATCACTCGTAACTGGTTTTTATATATTTTAAGTATTCTTCGATCATGTCATATATTTGATTTATTAAACATTTGCATAAGATTTAGACATTATCGGATCCATTTAATGATTGACAAGTTTCTCGTGCATTAACATTCGTCGAGTGTTGGGCGATGCACAAGAAGGTACAAATCCTGTTAAACCGTGTCATCTTATGGCTATTAAACCAGTGTAAGACTTGTCAAGATTATACACTGCAAGTGATTGGGTTTCAAATAGTTCCATAACCATTGTTCCCCTTCCAAAGGTGCGATTAGTCTCAAATTCAGAAGTAGTCTGGCACATTTTGATAAGTCATAAAGACTCGAACAGTCATATTGATCGATTAATATTTTAATAAAAAAATTGACATTGCGGAATGCTTATTCAGATTTCATGATCCTGAAGAAATATTAGTCAATATTTCTTACACTTTATTTATCTGACTAATACTTATTTTTTTTTTACCTTGTTGAAATTCAACTCCAAAAAAATCAAAAAGCTATTTTTGCAAAACAATCAGTTAAAAAAAGAAAATTATATATATGTACAATATATCATATCTTATGTAACTAACATACATTACAATTTTAAAAGAAAATTTACATATTTAAAGACTTGAAAATTTAGGCATTATTATTATTATTAATTTTGATAAAGTCACAACAAAAACTTTGACGTGGGCGTGGCACATCCGGGTGAAATTTTGTTTTTCTTAATAGAATTTATAATGTTTTCAAAAAATGACGTTGCATACGGTTACAGCATTGCTTTAGTCAGCTCATGTGAAAGGCTCGTTGATTTCGACTTTGTAGTTCAAAAAAAGGAACAAGGTTAAGAAATTTAAATTTTTCTGTTTTTGACTGTCCTTTGTAGGATCAAAGGTCATTGACTCAGGCTATTCAAATATTTTCCGGTCTTATTGCTGTGTACATTTTTAAAGTCTATATGTTTCAAAGACTTGTATCTCATTACTTTGACTTTGAATGACCTTGACCTACGGAGCCTCCCTCCCCCTGACCTCTTTGGAAGTTCCATTTATTAAATTTGCACGTTTGTTTTTTTTTTCGGATTTAAACATTTATTTTAAAGGGAAATAACT